TTTTGTAAAACACATAATTATCTTTTTTGGTTTGGCTTGTAACAATTTTCATAGATATGTATATAATTTGCCTTAAAAATAGTTGGAATACTAGCAGAACAATGATTCAATTGAATAATGTTACCAGAAGTTTCACAGGGGTTTATTTTTAAATTACATTTTTACATTCAGGCAAAATAGGCAAATGTATTAAAATACAAAGTTAAACAAATAATACATTCTTTCTACCATAAGAGATGTAGTCAGAATCCAGAATGACAATGTAAATAGTTTATCATAAGCCTCTCGCGTTTTAACAGGCTTTCTGACATCTATGCTAAAAATTAACTACCTTGTAATAATCCATTTCTTCTTTTCTGCTCGATTGCTAATACATACAATAAAATATCTTAGCAAAATATATTAGATGCAGCATCTGATCTGAGATCTCAGATTCTAACATGTTATGGCTTTTAATACGAACACTAGTATAACCAAAATTTAAACAAATTATGGCAAATAAATTAAAACATTTATATTTTAATCTCTATAGACTTTATTAGGTGTTCCTTATACAGTCATCTGGTATGTTTAAAGAGTGAGCAATCATATAAAAGGAAATATGGTCATAACTGATTGAAGTAATAAAATCCTGAAACTAAATAACATCTCATAATTCATTGCACAGCATATATTAGATTTCATTACATCAGTATATAGCTTAGTAGTAAATTCTCCTGATGGCCATAAACCTCTAAGGTGTTGTCATCCTGAAAAATGAAGGGGGGGGGTTGGTCGGTTACAGGATGGAGAAATCTTCAATAGGGTTGGTGCTATGGACCAGTTGTCAAGTTGTAGTGTATCGCCACCTAGTGGCCGAACTTTGCATCTTGTTCTAATAAAGGGACTCACCTTATGTTTCGTAAAGAGCTATGTCTCATTCACGTTCTAATTGTATTCTCTAATGCTGTGATTCCTAAAAATTTGTGCTGCTCATGTAATATAAACTCATCTGTTCTTCATCTATCAGACTGTCAAGTATTTGGCTATGACAGTTTTTATTCTCACCTAACATTTTAATTCCAAGTACTTTGGTTATTTTCAAAGCCACACACAGGATGTCTGTATTTTTAAACTACATCCTGTGTACTAACCTGGAAGGATGACTATGACTATAGAAACTTTGGGTTTTGGTCCAGTTTTTATTCTTATTACTGAATTTTTTAGCAAGTCAGAATTAGTACAGAGTGAATGCTTTAACAGGGAGTCCTTAAAACAAGCTACATGGATTCATTACCAAAATCTACACTTTGGACTTTATTGGTTCTAGAATTTAAAAATAGGAGAAGGTGCTGTCATCATAGAGAATCACATAAATATTTAGGCCATGAGAACTCAGTTCAGGAAAGTTATCAAACATTTCCATGTAATATGGAATTAAAACCAGAGTCAGCATTTGGAAGTCTGAGGCCTGATATCCCTTACTCTGGCTTCTTACACCTTGATAACATGAAGGCTGAGTGATACCAGGTAGTGCACGACAGTGAACATAGCCAGCTGTTTTTGTGGGTAGACTTGTAAAGTACAGTAAAACAGCAAAACAGAACATCGATGGCTTCAGAGTCAAATAGATCTTTCTTCAAGGTTTAGGAAAACCATGTACTCAAAACCAATCTTAAACTTTGAATAAGAAAAGATAGCAAACATTTTAAACTATACAAGGCAAATTAACAGGATTTGAAATGTTGGAAGCTTAAAAAGATTGCCGATCCAAAGGGAAAACAGGGACGGCCAAGTCTTAGCTCCACCCTGATCAAAGTTGTCGTACAGAGCCAATTCCACCTCTTCTCATGTCGGGTGACAGGTACTTCATTCAAAGAGGTGAGACATCTAAGGGGAGTAGAAGAACCAGAAATGAAAGTACTACACAGGAGATGGAAGGGAGAAAGGACCTTGGAGCTTATCTACTGGTCAACTATTAGACTCAATTTTTTCCCCTAAATTATTTATTCTCCTTTCTAGTCACATAACTTATACATCATACTTACTATGTGCCAGGAACTATTTAGGAACTAGTCAATTTTCACAAGCACCGTGTAAAACAGGTTCTATCACTATTTCCATTTTAAAGCCGAGGAAACTGAGGCACAGAAAGGTTAACTTATATTCCTAAAGTCACACAGTAAGCAAATAGATTCAGACCTGTGCAGTCTGATCCAGAATTAGCTGAGTCACTCTACTGTTCTGTCTACAGGATGACATTTTAGTGTTTCTCACACTTCCATGATTTTTCAAACAGGACAGCTTTTGATTACACGAAGGCCCTCTCTTTCAAACGAAAGGATTCCACTGATGGACTAACAAATTCCCTCCTATTCACCTAGTTTCAAAGACTACTTATTTTTCCTTAGTCTTTATAATAAGCAGAAAATAACAATAATGTACACTTAACAGTAAAAACATTGACATAGTGTTCTATGGCTTTTGAAGAACTTTTGCATACTTGTTCTCACTTAGATTACAGTAGTCAGTGCCATAGAACAGGCATGCACTTTGGCTTTAGGGAACTTCCACAAAATCAGGGGGTGCCCTCCTGTCATGCCATTTTAAACCTGAGTGGGTGGATGGCACAGGAGATCCTCTTCCTACTATAGCTCAACCCTGGGCAGTTCTGTTTGTCCCCCTATCTTCCAGCAGTGTCTTTAGGCTTGTTTTGTAGATGTCAACAGCACCTATAAGCATGGGTTCCTGGGTCAGTGCCCCGCCTCCCTTCCCCCATCCCTCTCTCACAGGCTTTACAGGGAATTTAAAGAGACTTTCTAATATTGTAGTAAACATTTTAAAACATGCTTTCTGATCATGTTATAAAAGTCAATTATCAGTAATTTTGTGAAAATATGGTATACACACACTTTTATTGCTTTACTAATTTTAAATGTAACACAAAACTTGTTTCTCACAGTTGCTATCTGAGGTAAGATACCCTCGCATACACAGCATCTTGTTGTGGAACAGTGGTCAGGCTACAGGCTCTACTGTTCCTTCCCTGCCAGCTGTGGTTCCATGCCTTCACCTCCACCAAGGAAGTCACGTCACAATGTAGGGGTGGCAATAACATTAAGAAGTGATCCTGGTTTTTGCTGCAGCAGCCGCAGCCATGAGTATGCTCAGTATTCAGAAGAGGCTTGCCCCCAGTGTCCTACGCTGTGGCAAAAAGAAGGTCTGGTTGGACCCCAATGAGATCAATGAAATCGTCAGTGCCAATTCCCGTCAGCAGATCCGGAAACTGACCAAAGATGGGCTGATCATCCGCAAGCCAGTGACTGTCCATTCCCGGGCTCATGCCGGAAAAATACCTTGGACCGCCAGAAGGGCAGGCACATGGGCATAGGTAAGCGAAAGGGGACAGCCAATGCCCGGATGCCCAAGAAGGTGACCTGGATGAGGATGAGGATCCTGCACCGGCTGCTCAGGAGTTACCGTGAATCGAAGATTGATCGCCACATGTATCACAGCCTCTACCTGAAGGTGAAAGGGAATGTTTTCAAGAACAAGCGGAACTTCATGGAACTCATCCACAAGCTGAAGGCAGACAGGCCCGCAAGAAGCTCCTGGCAGATCAGGCTGAAGCCTGCAGGACTAAGACCAAGGAAGCGCGCAAGCGCCCTGAAGAGCGCCTACAGGCCAGGAAGATCATCAAGACTCTGTCCAAGGCGGAGACCAAGAAATAAGGCTCCCCACCCTTGCCTGTACATAGTGGCCTCGGTGGTTACAAAGATCAGTCCTGCAAATAAAATGGGTTTTTCCCTGCTTGTCAAAAAAAAAAAGTGATCCTAATTTATATTTTTTAAAAATATCCTTTAAAAATGATCCTAAAACTTTTAACTGATCAGTATCCGGCCCTTATCATATGCTTTATAACAAACTGTTTCCATAGTGGAAGTCACTGGGATACGTGGAGAAAGGAGGATTTGTCTTCGTACTTCTATTTTTCTAATGTCTACTTTTTGTTTTCTAGTCTACATAGGAGTACATGTATTGAAATATATCTATTTTGGGATGCACACATACATCTTTCTTTTTAAAAGATGTGGGCCAGGCATGGTGTCTCAAGTCTGTAAGCCCAGCACTTTGGGAGGTGGAGGCAAGAGGACTACCTGAGCTCAGGGGTTCCAGACAAGCCTGGGCAACTTGGTGAGAACTTGTCTCTATAATTAAAAAAAAAAAAAAGCTAGGCATGGTAGGTAGTGTACATCTGTAGTTCCAGCAACATGGAAGGCTGAGGCAGAAGGATCACCTGAGTCCAGTTGTCAAGGCTGCGATGGCTATGAATGTGCTATGGCACTCCAGCCCGGGTGACAGAGTGAGACTCCAACTCAAAAAAAAAAAAAAAAAAAGACATAGGGTATAATTCATGATTAGGTATATAAGTGGTCACTGTACAGGTGAGGTTTGGACCTCCCTTTGGTCCCCCCTTTGCCTGGTTTGAGATCAGGTACCCTTATTGTTGTGTTCCCTCCCCACCACACACCCCAGCAGCATCCCGCTACTGCCAATCCCATTCTTATAGACATATATTTTCTTAAGTGATAGGATACTATCTGGAGAGCAATGGTTGAAGAGATCACTTCCCAATCCTGGCAAACAAGGAGGCAAATCCTCCCCTTTTATCCAGTAGCTTCTAAAGCATGAGCCGGTCTGCTCAATGCTCTGCTGGCTTAAGAAAAATAAAGTTATTGGCACTTGTTTTTAGCTCCATTCCATACCTGCAAGTTAGGCCATGATGTGGTTTCTAAGTATCTTGCTAACTTCCAAAGGCAATATACAGGTGACTATGCTCTTGGTGTAGTTACATCCTTCAGTAAAGCAAGAGTGAGCACAATGCATAAAGTGGCATCTGAGCTCCCGAAAGTAGTTAAGCACTCACTAAAAATATCTTGGGAGTTTGGAAAGAATTGCAACAGTAAGCGAATTCAGTAGTGATTCAGTATACAGTTTAGAATTTAAAAACTCCAACAATGATTTCAATAGACATTTATTTAAAGTAATACATCTGCAATCAAATAATTCTTAAATTGTATGTTTTAGGTTTAACCATCTTCATAAAAATACTTTGAGGATAGCTGCATCCACAGATTTCAACTACACAATTACTTCTTTGCCCATTCTTCTCTTTCTTTTCTTTCTCGAATAACCTCTTTCAGATATGGTTCAAGGTAGAATTTATCCTAAAGAATTAGTAAAATATTACATGTTACTATCACACAGATACATTCCAAACACTCAGAAGGTCTTAATCAACAACAAAAATCATCAAAATTAATTATATTAAATTTCAATTTAAGAAAACATATTTTCAACCCAATAACTATTTGCTTTTTAAAATATAAAAACCCATAATGATACTGTTATAAGGTGCCTTGATAGGTTATGAGAGGGAAATCTGTTGGGGAAGAAAAAGAAATGAGCGTCTACATAGGTTTTTGCCTAGTTTCAGTGAAAGTTCAGGAGTTTCACAGAAGTCCTTCCTGGGATTCAGAGGGCTTCTCACAGGGCTCATCTCATCTCATCAGATGCAGAGGACAGAGAGAAAACATCAGTGGCCTGGGAGGCAGAAGACCTGGATTCTAGCCCTAGCTCTACATATTAGAGGTTTGCCTAGGGATTCTGACGAGTCACTTCTCCTCTAAGTCTCAATGTGTTTTTCTCTAAAATGTTGACAACACTTACTCTACTAACTTCCCAGGCTGCTAAAGAACATTTGTTTGGCACAACTTTGCAAACTCTAAGGCACTATACAAATGAACATGTTACTCTGGTTTCTTATACTCAATCTTAATGACCAACACTGTCAGATATAGAAAAGTTGTTCTACCTCTTCATATTTGGTCCACTGCTCTTTAGGCAAGATCTGATGCCTCATGGTCAGATCCAGTGCTCTCTTAATGCGAAACATCCTGTCATTATAAAGGTTCTCAGGAAGCCTTCTTATGGCTTCTTTTACATCTTCATCCTCGTATATTGTATCATCCCGCATTAACCCTATGATTGATAATAAAAGTTAGATTAAACATGCCTCTCAAAAACCAGGTTTTTTCCCTTAATAAATAAAATCTCTCTATGACTTATAACTTAAGACTTTAAGTGAAATATCAGGAGTTCAAATTACCAGGTACAATAGATAACCTGTGCATTTTATACATATAATGGGTTATTTCTTGAACTGTACTGTGGAAACAATATATGAGCCTCTTAAAATCCACTGCCACAAAATTCACATTTTATCTAAATCAATTTAAAATATATTTTAAATGTTTACTTTGTTTTTAAACTTACATCATTAACCACATGTTTGGCTTTAAATCTGAGACTAATGTTTAAACAATCTTAAAACAATGGTGCACTAAGGAACCAGCGACATTTAATTACACTCGCAACAAGCTTCAACAGCAAAAGGTGAAGTTCACAGCAAATTATAAAGTTCTAAAAAAGTGTAAGAAGCATATGATTGCAAAGATATGAGACAATTTTAATCTTTGAGAAATCTCTACTTTCTGCCTCAAACACTTTAGAGGATTTCACCTCTCTCAAAAAAAAAAAAAAGAACTGAAAAAAGAAAATAGATTTGATTTAACATAACAATAAAATGTGATCCAGTTTTAAAATCTTCTGGTGTACACAGGAACAAGTGAAGCTTTTTTTTGGGAACCATAATAACACTTGCAAAAGCACTACTCTTAGAGAAAGGAAAGAAAGCACAAACACTTACCCAGTTTATTGAATCCTGCAGCATTGTAATACCATTTTCGAATTCCTTCCAGCCACCGGCTTGACGCTGCAACTGATAATTGTCATACTGTTAGCTGCTACAATTCACTTATATTTTATGAACACAGTGATAGGCAAGCAACCAGAAATAGTACTGGTTGCAAATATAGGAAAAAAATTTCCTTTTATAAAGCTTATAATCTATATGTTGTTTATAAAGATTGCTTATTTATGAACAAAAGTGACCACTGGAAAAAAATTAGGCAGCAAGTTATGGGAGGATAGGGTAAACTCAAATACCTCATTGTACAAGGGATCCATGAGTACAATTACTGCCATTCTAGCCTCTCAATACCCTGTGCCTTCATGTCCCCGTTGCCATCAGATTTGAAGTGAGTGATGGACAAGGAACTTGGAACATTTCTATCATGTCATTTCAGATATAGATCACAGGAAATAACTAAACTTTTTTCTTCAAAGGAGCTGAAGTTGTATGAAAAGAGGGTGAGACTTCAGGATAGATCCTTCATTTAGACCCTCATCCTCTAAATTTTATTCTGTATTACAGTTAGGTCACTTGGCCACCTTCTTTAAGATATGTATTTCTGGGAGAATGTTTATACTATTAATTAATCACCTAAAGAGTAACATGAACCACTCCTCTAAAGCAGGTAATTTTCCACCAAGGAAATGGATACTTGAAAATGAATGAGGAGAAACAGTAAAGTTTAAACTCTTTGGGGAACAAGACTTAGCTTGATGGGATAACCCAGTAACATGATAGTGTCTTGTGTTTATAGAAGAGAGAGGGTACAGAAGGGGAGATACAACAAGTCGACATTTTCTTTTAAATTGTCTAGAGCCAATCCCCTTCCAAGGAAGAAAAGCCTGCACTCCTTTCACTCCAACTCTCATGGCTCACCATTAGTACATTACAAATTACACAGCTTTGGTACATATCCTTGGAAATTAAGAGTCATGCATAAAATTGCCACTAAAAAAACAAGTATCAAAGAGTCAACAATCTACAAACATACTCATGGAAGACAAATTATTTATAAAAATGTCTGCCAGTAACTAGGACAATAATTATTAATGGAACATTTATTGTGTCTTATTTGCTTTACCAACATTAGCTGGGTTTATTTACTACCTGCCTGTTATTGCAGAAGGGGAAGTAGGCTTACAGAAGTGATCCCCACCAAGGGCAAAGCTAGCTTGTAAGAGCTGAGATCTGGTCCATATGGCTCCCAAACACAGCATAGAAGCAGAGTGCCTTGAATCTGATAAGCCTCCTTCAATATCTGCCAAGTTAATGAAATAATTCTTAAACATCTCCCTCGCCCACCAAAAGGTCAATGGCAATTAGGTTAAAGGATGTTTTCTGGCAACCTGACGTCGCCTAACAGCTTCACAATTGCTGGAGGCAGGGAGAAGGGGACCAATATTTTTTAAAAGCCACTCCAATACACAGCGCCAGAGGGCAGAGGTGAGGTTAGAAAAAAATAGGGAAAACTCTAACTGATGATCATTGTTTTAAATATCCCAGTAATTTCTGCATTCTAGTCCATAGTAAATGCGTTTGTTCTAGTGTCTACAATAAATACAAATTTCTGTCAACCTACTGATCAAGTTGACTTTCCGGCTAATCCAAGGTTAACCTGAAGCTTCGCCGTAACCCTTGCTCTAATTTCCAGTGTGAGAAGCGCGAAGGGTAGAATGAAATTTCCAATTCTATTTCCTCCGGTCACGTTGACTCTTATCAGAGTAAAAGGGAATCTATTATCTCCCTCGTCGTAATGGCAGAATTTATTGAGCCAATGCGCAAGACAGTGCTTGGGTCATAGCTAACACCGAACTCATTCTGGTTGAAAATCATGCACTAATTATCTCTTTGTGCCCTTGAACATTTCAATGACACACCGAGGGGCAGGGCTGACGAGAAAGCGCAGCTGGAACTCCAGAGCTGTCAGCGCCACCGCGAGCACCTTCAAAGACATCAGGTCACATCCCAACCCTCCGGGCAAGACCGGCCTGGGGACGGCAAAGGGGTGCGGGAAACACGTCCTTTCTGTTGGACTGGAGCTGCCACCTTCCTTTAAGTAGCAAACCCATCCACTTAGGAGAGAGAAAAAGTGAAAAGTGCTACGAAAACAAAAGGTGGGGTGCGGCGATGCCCGCACCCCCGACTAACTTACCAGCCGGCCTGCCCGCCATTTTGACCCGAAAGCGAAGCGTTGCCTTCTGGGTAAGTCCTAGAAGCCGCGCACGGCCCAGTGCGCATGCGCCTTGCAACGCATCGCGAGACTAGGGAGGACGACCGCGCAGGCGCAGCTCTGGCGGCCGACGAAGGACACCTGCGGTGCACCCCTCCCCGCCGGGGTGAGGCTGATGGAGTCGGTCGGGCTTCTTGCGCGCGTGGTTTTGAGATAGAGTCTGTGTGACGTGAAGGGAACACAACACTAGACAAGGAATTAGCAGAACCAGGCTTAAAGCCGGGTTCTATTACTAGTTATGAGATTGTGGGCGGTGTTAATTGAGCTGTTTGTACCAGTAAGGTAACAGTAGGCTAAACATTATATGGACCCAGTCTTATTTTTCTATTGAAGGATTCAAGAACTTGTCATCACCAAATATGCCGAATTGGTGTATTGGTTATTCCGAGTTAAAACACTGAAGAAATTGTAGGTTCACAAAGGGCTAGCTGATCTGTCTCTTCTGCATTCCGCAGGCCACGAAGTTTCCTGGGGGGGGGGAGGGAGGGGGAGCATCTATACCTTACCGGGGCCAGAAAATCGCCTTTATCACCAAAGACTGGAAGTTGGGGGCTGTAGTGGACCTGGATAAATATGCTTTTCGAAGTCACCCTTTTACTAGTTTTACGCCCCCCCCCCCCCCGCTTCCCGCCACACACAAACACACACACATCCAGTTGACTCTACTAGAGAGTTACTGCCCATGGCCAGAGCCCCTTTGTCCTGTCATTTCATCTCAAATGTATCGTTCTGTGTTCAAATAGTATAAAAGCATCTGCTTTGGCCACTTCTTACTGTAGTTACTTTCTTGTGAAGCTCCGCATGAATGTGTAAAGCTAGTAAAATTTGCATGCTGTTCTCTTGTTAATCTGTCTTGTTTTCTAGATACAACCAGAGCCCAAGCAAGAGCAAAGGGGGTTGGAGAGGTGACCTCTTACACACTCATTTAATTCTAAATCTTAAAATACTGCAATTATCCCCATTGTAGAGAGGAAAAAGCTGAGGCTCCTTGTCCAAGGGCACATGGCTAATAAAAATCCAGATTCTTCTTTTTCCAGAATCTGACAATCCTGATACAAATTCTGGGCTCCTTAGTTTTAGCCCATATGCTATGCTACTTTATTAGTTTTGTTTTTTCTGAGTTGGAGTCTCACTCTGTTGCCCAGACTGGAGTGCAGTGGCACGCTCCCGGCCACCCCAGCATCCACCTGCTGGGCTCCAGCTATCCTTCCCCCTCAGCCTTCCAAGTAGCCAGAACTACAAGTTCGTGCTACCACACCAGAGCCATATGCTATGCTACTAATCCAGGAAAGACACCAAACCTCTGGTCTTCAGTTTCTCCAGCTGAGGATCTACATCTAGCCACTTTAGTAGGTTAGGTCAGAAAATATTTTCAAAAAATTAAATCTAAGATGTATTGCAGAATTTGCATACAATTTTAAGATAAAAGAGAAGTATATAGATTTGCTCACTTTTAAGTTTCAGATTCAACATGTGATATCTTAGGTATAAACAACCAGGAACTGAGAACACTTGGGGGAGCTAACATGACTGATAGTTAACAGTGAACTTCTCCCATTAGAAGATAACAATGGTTTTGTTTGCTTATTTTTGGTCAGCTTTAAGCTCAGAGCAGGGACAGTATAGAACTCTGTTTCATTGTAAATTCAAAACGTTAGACTTAATGGTCTTAGTCATATTCTAGTTCTAAAATTTTATTGCTTTTTTTCCTTCTGTCTCTGTGCTTTCACAATTTCTTCTAGTAATTCAGTCCTGTATGCTGCGCTAAAAGCATGAATGGCTTCTTCCAGCCTACACTAGCGAAACTGAAGTATGAAAGATGTGAAGAGATGCAATACATTTGTACATTGGCACATTGCCCTGCAGAGTAGGTATTCAATACACTTTTCTCTTTTCCTTCTTATAAGTTTCAACTTGCTGGTTTTAAGGTGAAGAAGGTAGCAAGAGAAGGAAGACCTTATGTCAAGGGATCAGAAACTCAGGACCACCACGAATTCCATCTTCTACAGGAATTAAGCTAGAGAGCCTGAATGTTTGCTGTAGTCATTAGCATTTATTCAAAAATTATTTTCGGTTTTCTTCTCTCCCAGCACAGGGTTAGGAATTGCTGTTCTCTGCTCCCTTAAAGTTTGGGTACGCTTTGGCCAAGAAAAGTTTGAGAACTTTTAAAGAGCAATTCTCCACATTTCTCCTTCACTCCAGAAATGGTGGAGACGTACAGGACATATCATCCTGTATTACTAAAGATGATGTGGAGCAGAGCCTTTGTGAACCTAAAGAGATATGTATTTTTTTAAAGAGATAAAAACTTGTTTTAAGTCATTTGAGGTTTTAGGATTGTTCATCATAGTGGCACAACTGCCTATTCTGACTGATCTGAGTAGGGTGTTCTTAAAGACAAAACGAGGTTCTGAGCCATAAAGAAACCAAGCAAGGTGGTTCCCATGTTTTGCCTCCCAGTCATACCTTCTTTCTTGTTCCTTGTTTATTGATCTCATCCATTGGAATAGTCCATGAGAACAAATATCTATGCCACTGTATTCTAGGAACTCAAATGTCCATTTACTGAATGAAGAAAATATGTAACAGGAATACCACTATACTTAGTCCTAACCAATTACAAATTTAGTTTTTCATGAGGCTTTTTAAAGGGCCTACAGTACACCACAAAACCATGGTGCAAAAGAGACTATGGCTTACAAAGTCAATGACTTACAACACTAATTATTTCTACCAATTCTGAACTCAGCTGGGTAATTCTGCTCAATGTAGTGTCTGCTGAGGCTGGAATATCCAAGACAGCTTCTTCACTCATCTGGTGCTCACTTGGCATGGCTGAAATAGCTGAGGTTTGGCCAGACCTTTCCCTCCACCTAGTTTCTTCAACAGAGCAATCTACCTCTCTACATAGTGGCATAAAGTTCCAAGAGGACAAGCCCTGATGTGCAAGTGCTTATCAAGCCTCTACTTGACAATGTCCCATGGACTAAATCACATTGGTTCCAAGTCAATATGAGAGGGGGCTACATAAGAGTGCAAATACCAAACATGGTTCGTGGAGGCCACCAGTTAAGTCTACCCAACCTGGTGATCCTAAAACAGATAACTGAAGTTATGATGCCTCATTTTACAAATAAGAAAGCAAAGATTTGAATATTAAATCATTTGCATAGGATAACGTGTGGTAAATGGAAAATAAATCTTTGCTTATTGGTAGGAAGTCAAAGGCTTGTTAAGCCTTTTACTAAATTTCATTGCCTCCACTTACCTTCAAACTTTCCTTTCCTTTTCCTGATCCTTAGTAGTCAACTGTGAGCAATTTTGAATATCTATGCTCAGAAAGATAACACCATAGATAATCCAAAATGAAAAGTTTTGTAGCATTATCTGAATACTAGATGAATAATGAAGTTTGTTCCAGAAACTCATAACATTTCAAGGGAAATAAAACCATTCTGTTATGACACCACTTTAAAAGGCCTATGAATAGAATGAACAGGAAAATCCTCCACTGTTCTCGTCTTTGCAAGAATGACAAAGCACTAGCTTAAAATAAACCAACCCTTTCCCTTTCTCCAAGCTTGCTATATTTTTAGTTCTCTCTTAAGAAGGAAGGAAATGGTCACACAATAACTAAATTGCAGGCCAGGTGCCGTGGTTCAAGCCTGTAATCCCAGCACTTTGGGAGGCCAAGATGAGAGAACTGCCTAAGCCCAGAGGTTTGAGACCAGCCTGGGCAACTTGGCGAGACTTTGTCTCTAACAATAAATTAAAAAATTAGTCGGGTGTGGTAGCATGTGCCTGTAGTTCCAGCCTTGGAAGGCTGAGGTGGAAGGATCACCTGAGCCCAGCAGGTCGAGGCTGTGGTGGCTGTGAGCATGCCACTGCAGTCCAGCCTGGGCAACAGAGTGAGATTCCAACTCAAAAAAAAAAAAAATAAAAAGAATAAAATCACCAGGAACTTGCAGGAAAGATGTAACAGAGCATATGTACCCAAATTCATGATACCAAATTATTTCCACTACCAATTGAGACCTAAGGCATTTATTTAAATTTAAACATATACTCATTTATTCACATAGATATACACACACTTTCTTTACAATATTACATTTCAGCATTCATCAAAAACTAAAGAGTTTTTAAGAATTTTTCAAAGTCCTGTACTGAGGCTTTGGCAATCTCTTCACAAAATATTTCATCAGGAATAGATACTAATTTGTCCAAAGAGATGTAGTTAGGTTTTGCTGGATCATACTGTGCTCTTCCTAAGTAGGTAAGAAATAAATGCCTTTCTTTGACTTTAAACAACCTTGTATTAAATACCTAGAAAAGAAAAAAAAATTTTTTAAAACATTGTACACTGAAGGATGAAATACTTTTTTATTTCATTTTGAGTCAGAGTCTCACTGTGTCACTCAGGCTAGATTGCAGTGGCCCACTCACAGCTCATCACAGCCTTGGTCTCTTGGGTACAAGTGATCCTCCTGTGTCAGTCTCCTGAACTGCTGATTCCACAAGCATGCGCCACCACACTGGCTAATTTTCGATTTGTGTAGAGATGAGGTCTTGTGATATTGTCCAGGTTGTCCTGGAACTCTTGAACTCAAGATATCCTCCCACCTCAGTCTCTCAAAGTGCTGGGATTGCAGGTGTGAACTACCATACCCAACTAGAAGGATGAAATATTTAATAATTTACTGGGCTCAAAACTGTAATAGATTAACAAATATAAAGTACTGACCACATGCTCAGTAAGTATGATAAATGCCACAAGATTTAAACCTATAGCTTCTGTTAAGAAATTATGATTAAAAAGGACTCAAAACCAACATATATAACAGGAAAAACATAATTAAAGCTACACTGTAGGCAAAGATCACTGACTACTCTAGAGACAGAATGTGTTAGACAAGCAAATCCTCAGGCCTCACTCCAAAACTACTTATCAGCAACTTTGAGAGGAGGGCCCAGGAATCTGTTTTAACAGGTCCTCTAGATCAGGAGCCCCCAACCCCTGGGCCTGGACCCTGTTAGGAACTGGGCCACACAGCAGGAGGTGAGCGGTGGGTAAGTGAGCAAAGCTTCATCTGTATTTACCTCCACTCCCTATGGCTCACATTACCATCTGAGCTCCGTCTCTTCTGTCAGATCAGAAGCAGCATCAGATTCTCATAGAAGCATGAATCCAATTGTGAACTGTGCATGTGAGCGATTTAGGTTGTGGCTCCTTATGAGAATATAATGCCTGAAGATCTGAGGTGGAGTTGAGGCAGTAGGTATTAGCGCTGGGGAGCAGCTCCAAATACAGATTAACATTAGCAGTGAGATTTGACTGCAGAGAGACCATAATAAATCAGTTGCACAGCTGCATCTGGTGGCAGGCTTTAAGTCAGAATCTGACACTTATTTTAGTCATTGCAGGGCTCATCCATTATTTTATTTACAACTTCTGTCTTTCTTCTTTTTTTTATGGTAAGTTGGTATAATTATTTCATTATATATTACAATGTAATAATAATAGGAATCAAGTGCACAATAAATGGTATGTGCTTGAATCCTCCCCAAACCGTCCCCCTACCCACCATCCAAGGAAAAATTGTCTTCCATGAAACTGGTCCCTGGTGCCAAAAAGTTGGGGACCGCTGCTCTAGATGAGTCTGATATCTACCAAGTTTGAGAACCAATGTTGGATCTATGCTATAAAAAATTTTATAAGATTTCATAAGCCGATTAAATGAATCTGACCTCTTAGAGGAGCAACTAGGGAAAGTATATCATACTTGCCTCAAAGTAAACTCCTAAAGAACAGATTGGCAGCAACTTTAAAAAGGAGTCAAAAGCAGGCTAAGTCCCCTACAGTCAGCTGCAGAAATAAGGGAGAAAGGGATCTGTCCAGATTCAAGCTTGAGCCCTGAAGAAAGGCCTGTGAGGCTCCCTGCCAAGGCCCAGATGAACTCTATTCAGTACTATGGTTCGAGCTTTCCTCTGGGCCATATTACAGATATATTGTGAACACTGGGCATGACACATGGACTATAATCACTAGACCTGTTTCTCTACATTCAAGTGGAATCAAAATAATAACAGATCACTCAGAAAGGACACATGAAAACAATGAAACACAACTGTTGAAAACAAAAGTAATTTGGGAATAGTGACCAAAAAAGTATAAGGTGCAAACTCATAGGGTTGGCTTGCTTTTGGAACAAAACATGTCCCTTTTTTATCTCTGCAAAAAACAAATTCCATATTATTCTGTCTTCATTTTGGTAACTAAATTCTCATTGCCACATTATTACTGCTAATGAAAATGTAAGAAGCTTCAAATGTATTTTTGTAGAGTGTGACTCCTATGCAGTGATTCTTGGCTTTAAAAACTATCATGCAACATAAAGACAAAACCACAAAAACTCTGAAGCTACCTATTAATTTTCTAAATATAACACTCTGAAGCATTTAATATAGCTTATGGTCAGCTATTACATTTACGTCTCCAATAGCTAATGGTTACTTTATTAGAGAGTTGTGTGCTTCTTCAAGTCCAAGAGCTACAGTTTAGATTGAAGTGTTTTTCCTCTTCATTTTAATAATGCACTAAATTCTCAGGAATTTTTTTCCAACAACCCCTAGCCTGAGAATTAGTGATCCCCTCTTATAGTAAGGGGATCCTCATATACTACGGGAATCCAGGTCTGCCTTCATAGAAGCTCAGAGCAGAAGGGGAGAGGCAAGGTTTTAGGGGGATCCTGAGTAGAAACTCTCTTCTTAGACTAGTGATTTCCTCTTGTTACTCTAAAACTGCTTTTGTCATCTGTTACTTTGCATGGTCTCTTTTTTTTGAAAGGACTAAATTAACCATAGTAATTAGGTTATACTGCTTTCCCCATCCTTAATTAATCATAAGATATATGCGCCAACCAAGACTGTTACCTCCATGAAGAAATTAGTTTTACACCACTGGTTTTTAAAACAAGTCAAACATTTAAAATCTATAGCAGTTCCTTCACAGTCTTACTGCCTAGTTAAGGTATTTTTCCATTAACAAACTTTTTATTTTCCTGTTTTGTTTTTCAGTAATACTACCCAGACCCCCAGGAGTCTGAGAATTCCAATTTGGAAGCCACAGTTCTACAAATGAGCTTCCCAGAAGTTAGGGTCTGGGGTTTCTAAAATCTGTGTTTTTAAATAAGTGATTTTGATGCCATCTGGTTGGCTTATAGTTTCCTCTGCTTGGAAAGTTCCTCTCCATCTTTTATTTTTTTTTCTTTGAGTCAGGGTCTTACTCAGTTGCCTAGGCTAGAGTGCAGTGGCACAATCATGGCAAGCCTAAGTCTCAGGTGATCTTCTGCTTCAGCATCCCGAGTAGCTGGAACTACAGGGGAGCATCACCACACCTGGCTCATTTTTAAATTTTTTTGTAGAGATAAAATCTTGAACTCTTGGCCTCAAGCAATCCTCCCACCTTGGCCTCCCAAAGTGCTGGTATTACAGGTGTGAGCCACCATGTCCAATCACTTTCCATCTTTTAAACACCAGCCATTATTCCACAGATGAGTCAAATGTTACTTCTTAAGAATGGTGGCATATTCTATAAAGAGCATAGGCTTTCAAACTTGAGTGTTGGAGTTCTAATCTTAGCTTTGCCCTTTCCCATCTTTGGTACTGGGTAACCTGGGAGTTACTTAATCTCTTTATGCTTACATTCTTCATCTGTAAAACAGGGATAATAATAGTACCTACCTCATATGTTGTTTGTGAGAATTCAGTAAGTTAATACAAGTAAAGGAGTAAAGACAGAGCTGGCACACAGTAAGCACTCACTTGCTGCTATTATTTGTATAATTTCTCTACTCTGTCTAAATTAAATTAGTCAATGTGGAGGACCTCTGGTTATGACTCTTTACCATTTTGTAAAGCAATTACAACTACAAAACCTGTCTTCCACACTGGATGACAAGTTCCACAAGAATAGAGACCATGTCTGATTTTTGCATCCTTGGTGCCCACACAGTGTCTAGCACAGGGTGGATGCTCAGTTATATACTGGAAGGATGACTGGGCCACTAGGGCCAGGAGGCAACAAGATCAGACCGAGTTACTGTCAATGAATTATCCAACCCAGGGAAAAACAAATAATCATTGCTTTTTAGTTGAAGACTAGTTCACAATTACTCCATAAGCCACATTCACAAAGGCTTCTAAGCACTTTTTCAGTGAATATATTTGCTTTTGGTGAAACAGGAAAATACTATAGTAAGGGCCCGTTCCTAGTGAAGTATGGTAGATAAATAAACATTGCTATATATGAAGGAACTGGATTAATATGCAGTCTAGTTCTGAGAGGTGAATTATGGTCATAATTCTTTTGCTCATTTTTATATCATTACACCTAGCAAATGGAATAGAAGGATCACACTAATGAAATGCAATCTGTCATTTATCCAAAAATACTGAGTGGCTATTCATATGGCAAAGAGGAAAGAGGGATTACTTTGATAAAATCCAATCATTCATTCATTTACTAAATACTTATTGCATGCCTACTAAGTGCCAGGTGTAGCTCTAGGCACTGGGGATTCAGCAGTGTATAAATTAGACAAGGTTTTTGTTTTCCAAGCGTTAACATTCTTGTGAACAGCAGTTAATGTGGCTCATTAGTAAAAGAATATGAAAGCGTGATTAACTTAGGAAATATAATTATGGCTTTGGCATGATGGCAAGCTGGAACTGTTTTATACTTTGTTAGGAGATCATTACAATGTGGCTTGTTGATTCAAAGATTTAGATAAACAGAAGAAAAAGTACAAGTAGCTTTGAAAGAACTTTTAAGGGAAGCAATCTATTTCAAATTTAAATGGAGAAAAACAAAAGAGAAACTGCATTAAATTTGTTCTGTCTGATTCCAATAGGCAGAACTAAGAGAAGGAAGAAGCTATAGGGAAACCAATTAATCACTGATTTCTCCTTAGGAGATGTACACATGTACCCTGGAAGTGTAAATTTAGGACAAGGGAATAGCACCATTCAGCTAAAGAGCAACTCCAGAGGGCAACGGTAGCACTCACAGAGAGCTGTGAGCTGCATTACCTGTGGGAACTTGACGATGATGTGGTGGGGGATGCTCATTACATTATGCACGTAATCAAACATCTCCGTCAGTTTCCTTTTATTTGCAGTTAACATCTTTGGGATTCTGGTGACCATATGTTGAATTTCATTATGTTTAAAGCCAAGTTCAAGACGATAAACCTAAAAGAAAGTAAATTTGCTGTGAATCATACATTACAAAACGTTCTATTTGTACTATGCTAAGGCCACATTGGTTCTTTTAAAATTTAAAATAACATTTTAAAATCTTTAGACAGCTACACCCATGCCCTCCAGCCATTATTGCTTCCTGCTTCTGGGGTCACTGGAATTTCAAACCCCTCTCCTGAGAGTGAGCTACTCACAGCATGGTGATCATCACCAAGACCACAAGAGCAAATATAATCATGAGACCAGCATAAAGGTGGACCTGGGAAGACTGCTCAGGGCAACTGTGTGTCCCGACACCAAAGAGACCTGCAGAAAGATTTTCAAAGTGCTTCTTGAGCTTCTGCTCCCAAGCACACCAACATACATGTTGTCTGAAAAACTGTATGTCAAGATCCAGAGATGATAAAACTAAGCACCCAGATGGGGGTCAGTCCTCTATATGCTTTCTGAGCACCCTATGCTGCCCCACTAAGCCACTGTTCGTATCACTCAGGATTTTATCCCCAACTAGATTGTAAGTTCTTCCAGAGCAGAGACCACCTTCCCAGCACAGCTCTCTTGCAGGTGCTCAATAAAAATATCTTCAGTGGCTAATAGAAAACACTGTAGCACCTCAGAGAATAGGCCTTACATAATCATTTCAAATACTACTACAGCTTTGTATACTAATGAGGCAGCTGTCTTTGGCTTCATACTATTCTCTTGGAAGGACAGTAAAGAGTATCTGGCATATGCTGTGATAGAACTAAAACTGGCAACTGGCAACTGGCACAGGTACTACGGAGAGCAACATGCTGGCAGCTACTCTCTTCACAGAAGTCTTCTGGATCCAGCCTCCAAAACTCTGCTAGACATAGAATCCCTTCCATTTCCATGCTGGGCAACAGAAGCAGTTCGCAGGTACCACCAATAGACCTAATCGATTACTTCAGGATTTGGGTAACAATGTCTGCAAGGTGATTTACTCATGTAATACCTGGTCGATATGTAAAAATATCATTAACTGATACAAACTGCTTATAGATATCTGTTATATTTAATTTCCTATTTCTCTTTTTAGAAATAACTTCTTTTAAAGTCTAGTTTTCTTTAAGATGACAATAGCAAAATCTAGTCTCTCCAGAGGGCTTAAACACTTAGAGAAAGAAGCTGAAAGTGATTTCTGAAAAGCTTAGTTATCCTACCTTCATATTTTCTTTCACAGGCTCCAGACTTCCAGTTAGTAGCCTTGGGAGACGAATTACCAGATCTCTAGTCTATAGTTATAAACAAAAGTTTATTATTACTATATATGCATACTTAACCACTTTGGAAAACTCAGGCATTATTAAGAATACAAAGTTCAAACTTAAAATATGACCCAATCAGAAAAATGATAGGAACCCTAGAAGAAAATAAATCTAGTACTGTTTGAGGAAAAAAAACCTCAGGAACCAACTTGATGGAGCTTTATGTTTAAAGTGCTGGAGCTTTATGTTTAATATAGGGTAATTCATTTTTATACAGAAAATACCAGGAATGTATAGGATTCATATGGGCCAGGCATCTGTTTAAAAACACAAGATTTAACAGCTACTACAGTACTTGACGTGGAAATGTACAAATTTTCCCCTTTTCTTTACCTTCTTCACACTAAGTTCAAGTTCTTTCTGAAAAAATCCCAATCTGTTATCCAGTCTTTCCACTGAAAAATTCAGCAAAAATGGCGCTTTTCTGACCATCTGTGCAACATCTGCTTTACTGAAATTTTTTGACTGCAAATAAGCCACCCTAGAGAAACAAACAAAAATATACATATGTGTGATAAGCGTTTGCTAATGTCATGCTGTTTTCCAAAGTAATAACTATTTTTTAAAAGGTTCCCACATCAAAGATCAATAAAAGCATTCTGTAATAATGACCTAAATATGGTTAAAACAAAAGCATTCGCCCAATTTTAGAATGGTTTCCAGTTATACTTGAAAACAGAAAATAATTCTGAAATCCACTAACAGGTTCCCTTTTTAATTAACCTGATTTAGTTTATTAACTTGGTAGGACAAAATGAAATAGCTTCTGTTTAAGATTTTTTTTTGTTCTTGACTAAGATTTTTAAAAATGCAAATAAAAAAATAAGTAATTTATGTAAAAAGAAAGACCCTTAAGCGTGGTTGTACCCAATAGAAACTTTTTGTTAGCATGTTTACTGAGTATGTATTTTCATGAAAAATTTTTACTAGTCTTTCAATAATAATCGAGACATTTTTCTGCTAAGTTTCTGAAAACTAAAATATATACGATAAAAAAATATAGAAAGTTTGACTACAAAATAACAATAATAATTTTTTAAAATCTAATAACATATTAAAAGAGAATCTTGGGCAAATTATTTAACCTCTCTGTGCCTCCTGTGTACAATGGGGATATTAACAATAAGGATGCAGCCTCTGAAATGATATCCACCTCCTGATAGTCATACTTTTTTGGAATAAATCTTGAACAACAAAGGAAATGTGGTTTTTAACTGGGGAGGAAAGTGGTGTTCCTGACAACCAGGAGGAGCAGACCTGGATATGTCAGGTAAGTTTCCTGGAATCATCCCTCCCCTGTACTGTGACATGCTGTCTTCATTACACCAGACTACCAGCCACATAAAGGGACAGTGTGTATCTAGCCCAGTACCCTGCACCCATAAGGGTTCAAATTCTTCAATGAAAGGAATGTCATTTTTTGATTTTTTTTTCTAAATCAGATAAAAGACATTATACTAGGATGGTTCAAGGAACCGCAAAGCTCCCTGAAGTGCAGTTAGGATCAACGTCAGTGTGGAGAACAGTCTGAGAGGTCAAGATTAGAGGCAGATCAATTGGGAGACTGCTGCTCCTGGTATGAAATGACAGGGACCTGAAGCAAAGTATCCAAAGCAAAGATTTTTGGAAATGAGAGTGAAGAACAGGCAGGATTGATAGGCCTTGGTGGTAGATGTCGATAGTAAAAGAAGAGAACCCAGTTTTTTTAAATTTGTTTTTCTTTTTTTTTTTTTTTAAACATCGGAGTCTCACTCTGTTGCCCCGGCTACAGTGCAGTGGCATGCTTACGGACCCTGCAGCCTCTACCTGCTGGACTCAGGCAATTCTTCCACTTCAGCCTTACAAGTAGTTGGAACTCCAGGTGCGCACCACCATGCCCAGCTAATTTTTTTATTATTGGAGAGATGAGGTTTTGCCAAGTTGCCCAGGCTGGTCTTGAACCCATGGGCTCAGGCAATCCTCTTGTCTCCACCTTCCAAAGTGCTGGGATTACAGGCTTGAGCCACTGTGTCTGGCTAGAACCCAAAGTTAATACTACTATTTCTGACTTGGGCGGTAGGGTGGACAATGCTCCCACTCAGGGAATCTGGGACCATAGATTGGTTTGGGTGATGAGAATTCAAAATGTAACCTAAGGACAGAGATTTTGCTTTGTTCCCTGTAGTATGCCCAATGCCTAGCAGGATTCTTATCGCATAGATCAATATCTCACTCTATCCATTACCACAGATTCAATAATTCTTTGAATGTTGAATGAAGTACAAAGATGTTTATAAAAGTGCTATTAAAAGGAGAGAATAAGAAACAACCAAAATAGCCAACTTATAGAAATAATTAAACAAGTTATACAATAATTTGCCAAGGGAATGTTAAATATCTACCATTAAAATTGGCCAGGAAAAAAGCCACAAAGGACCAGGCTTTCACAACTTTAGGTATCCTCTCAGATAATATAGCTATTTCTTAATGGGTTTTTTAGAAAAAAAGTCTTATTCCAGTTTCTGAAGAGAAAAAGCTAAGTACTGACTCAACATATGAAAACATAAAAATAATAGTGGGTGGCTGAATAAAATAATTGTTTTAAATACTTAATTTAAATCAAAGAATGTCTATAACAACAACAAAAATCAATGCCTATTATCTCAATAGAACTTTGTGCAGCATACACTTAAATAATAACTTACACATATATTCCTCCATAACCATTTCTTGGGTTATATAAGAATTACTATAATAGCCCTACCTGATCTTAAGATTTTCAAGGTCTTCAGAGAAAACAGCATGATTTTTAGTCAGGAATGTTCCCAGTTGGTTATCCTCTATACCCAAATCTTTAAGAAACAGGAGTATTTGCTTAATGTCTTTTTCAAAATCCAGTCTCAGAAGGAGGTTGGCTGCATCTGGATGTTTTTCTATCTTGGATAAATCCACTCCTATAATAAATTATAAAGACTGTTTGAAGATAATGTCTCAACTCAGCCATTACACTTCATACATATAAGCATAAGAAATTATGATATGGAACAGTGTGGCTATTCCTAAAAGTTCTAAAAATCAACCTCCCATATGACCCCACAATCCCCCTAACTGGGAATATACCCAGAAGAACTCAAATCACTCTATAAAAAAAGATACCTGCACACATATGTTTATTGCAGCATTGTTCACAATAGCAAGAACATGGAACCAACTGTACTGCCCATCAAAAGAGGACTGGATTAAAAAAATGTGGTACGTATACACAAGGGAATATTATGCAGCCATAAAGAAGAATAAAATCATGAACTTTGCAGCAACCTGGATGGAATCAGAGGTCTATAATACTAAGTGATCTTTCACAGAAACAAAGAACTGGGTATCACATGTTCTCACTCATAAGTGGACCTTGAACAACTATCCTAACACTATAAGAAAAGGATTGACAGTAGCAGGAAACCGTGGGAGTGTGGGGGGGACAGGGAGGTGGGATTGGCAGTAGTGGGAATCTGCCTGGGGAAGGGGGGGACACACATCATCAGCAAGGGTACCTGCACAATGAATATTTGTATACCTAACCCTGAATTGTACCCTACAATTTTAAAATTAAAATATTTTTTAAAAAATCATGATGGAGATCAATACCTATCCAAAGGAGAACCAAGATAGATCAATAGAAACTTCTAAATATTTTTTAACTAAATTGGTTGCAAAAATAAAAACAAATTAAAATGGAAATACAGTATTTATTTCAAAGTCAAGTAAAAAGGAAAATAGAAGCTGGGCTCGGTGGCTCAGCCTGTAATCTCGCGCCTTTGGGAGGCTGAGGTGAGTGGAATGCCTGAGCCCGCGGGTTCGAGACCTGCCTGGGCAACTTGGCGAGACTTCATCTCTACAATAAATCAAAAAACTTAGCCGGGCATGGTAGCGGGCGCCTGTAGTTCCAGCTACTTGGAAGGCTGAGGCGGAAGGATCGCCAGAGCCCAGCAGGTCGAGGCTGTGGTGGCCGGCAGCGGCCACTGCACTCTAGTCTGGGCGACAGAGTGGACTCCAATGCAAAAAAACAACAACAACAACAACAACAAAACAAAAAGAAAATAGAGCATCTGGTGTCAAATTTTCCCCCAAAACAAATTTACCAAGTCATATTGACATAGGGTCATCACCTTTGTCTATAGTTTCTTTTTTTTCCTTTTCCCTCCCAGACTGGCCTTCCACCTCCTGCCCCAATACCCTGCCACTTTTGTCTATGGTTTCTTGAATATTGAGAATGCTTGTGAATACCTAATGATCGCCATAGTAACTGCTCTTGGTTATTCTGTATGGTAACAAACACTATGAGTACCATGCCATTTTCTTAGGAGCTTTTTAAAAAATCATTTTCTTACTTATATGCATCATTTAAAAAATATGCTTATGATCCTCTCCATAGGGGGAATAAAAAAAATCCCATGTCTTGCTCATCACTATAATCTCCAGTGAGAACAAATGAACACACAGCTCTTTAAGAACACAGCAAAGCAGAAAGTTCACAGCCTTTAACCTTCATGTTTCCTTACAATCTTAGGTAATCTAAGTAAACGAGACAAGGAACAGAAGAGAGAGAGAGTGAAAAGGAAAAAGAAAAATCAAATTGTTATGTAAAAGCATTCTTTGGTTACAAAAATAATTTGATTTCAGCATTAGTCAGGGAATCAAGAGTAACCTATAATTCAAAATTCTCAAAAACTGGGCATTTTATTCTCCCACATTTTCTTTTAATCTGATTAAAATAAACATGAAAAAGAGCCTATTTCCTATCTTTAGAATAAAGATTTGATGAGAATGTAAAACTTTAAGTTTAGACTCAAATTTTATTCTTAAAAATATTTCTTCAGGCTGGGTATGGTGGCTCATGCCTGTAATCCCAGCATTTTGGAAGTGGAAACAGGAGGAATCCCTTGAGCCCAGAAGTTCGAAACAGTCTAGGCTCCATAGCAAGACTGCGACTTTACAAAAAAAATTTAAAAATTTTCTAGGCATGGTGGTGCACACTTATAGTCTCAGCTGCTCAGGAAGCTCACTTGAGCCTAGGAGATCAAGGATAAGGTGAGTTGTGATAGGGCCACCGCACTCTAGTCTGGGCAGTAGAATGAGACCCCAATTAAAAATAAATAAATAAAAAAACACATTTCTTCAGATTAAAAAGAACTCTCAAACTCCACAGGTAACTTTACAGTCTTAAATATTCAAGAATTGAAATAAAAACATTCTTAATGATAGTCACTATCAGAAAAATAAATTATTGTATTCATTATAACTCCAAATACTATTAGATCCAAATAGAATTCTAAATCCAAATTTCTTCTTTTTTTTTTTGAGTTGGAGTCTCACTCTGTCACCCAGACTGGAGCACAGTGGCCGCTCCCGGCCACCGCAGCCTTGATCTGCTGGGCTCCGGCGATCCTTCCACCTCAGCCTTCCAAGTAGCTGGAACTACAGGCGTGCGCTACCATGCCCGGCTAATTTTTGATTTATTGTAGAGATGAGGTCTCACTAAGTTGCCCAGGCAGGTCTCGAACCTGCGTCAGGCAATCCACTCACCTCAGCCTCCCACAGGCGTGGGATTACAAGCTGAGCCACCGAGCCTGGCTCAAATTTCTTGATATTAAACAGATATTGCTATAAGATGGTCATGAATAGCAAATATACACACACACACACACAGAATGAAGACCAGAAAGAAACAGACCCAGAATGAATGAAAAAAAGTTACTATAAAATAATAATGGGCATTTCAAATCAATATGGAAAAGATAGACTGTTCATTAAAATATAATGGAAGGCTGGGCACGGTGGCTCAGCTCTAATCCCAGCACTTTGGGAGGCAGAGGTGAGAGGACTGCCTGAGCCCAGGGGTTTGAGAACAGCCTGGGCAACCTGGTGAGACCTTGTCTCTACAATAAATCACAAAAACTAGCCAGGCATGGTGGTGTGCGTCGGTAGTTCCAGCTACTTGGAAGGCTGAGGCAGAAGGATAGCCTAAGCCCAGTAGGTCAAGGGTGTGGTGGCCATGAGCATGCCACTGCATTCCAGCCTGGGCAACAAGGATGAAACTCCAACTTAAAAAAATTAAAAAAAGATAAATAAAATATAATGGGAACACTAACCATACTTTTGAAAAAAAAATTTTTAATTCCTTTCATATCTTATACAAAATTAATTCTAGATAAAGAATCTGAACATATATGAACTCTACTAGATAAAACAGAGAATTTTTAAAGTATTAAGTTTAACTACAGAAAAGTATAAACCTATATAAAGAAAAGGTCTGGAAAGCTATTCGACAAATTGGTAGTTGTGGTTACCTTTGGGAAATGGAACTGGGGATGGAGAAAAGGTCCTTCTCTTATAAAATCTGCCCTTTTATCAACTAGATGTAATTCTTTTTATTTTAAAAATTAAATGTATAGAAAAATAAGTCAAATTATTGGGTAGACAAACAAATAAGATGGAAACCAATTTCAAAAATCTGTGGTAAATGGGGGAGGGGATGCTTTAAGAATAACATAAAGGGTTCAGGCTTCAAATGTAACGAAATATTACAGCTTACATGAGTTGAAGCCCTTGCTCAGCATGAGCTGTCACACCCTGACCGTGCTAGAACAGAAATCCTGAAAAGCTGCCTTTTAACAGCAATAGGAGAGCAGAATCTCATCAGGAGTGCACACTGCTCTCAGTTCAAATCACTTAGGCTCATTTTATTTCATTAACTTGGAAAAACAGTCACTGAACGCCTACTAAGGACCAGGCCCCTCTGTGGAGTAGGGATATAACAAATCAATAAAATATGATTCTAACTTCTAGATAACTGGTGGAATTGAGCTTTATCTCATCAGCTCTTTAACTACAAATATTACCGTTGTAGTCAGTATGGTTATGCATATTTAGTGTATTAATTAGGGTCTGGCAGGCTGATTGACCTGGAAAGTACAAATGAAAAGAACTTTAATGAAGGGACTCTGTACAGTGGTATGAAGTAACATTAAGGGAACAAACAAGAGCACTCCTAGCACTAAGGAAACCAGGAGGCAAGATGTTACCAGAGCCCAGAGGGAGATAGAAGTTATTAAAGAAGGAGGCTCAGGAGGAGCTGTTGTCACAGAGCCAGGTAGTTACAGGACCAAAGACAGGAGGGAACAAGGGGGAAATATCCCCACCTGGCTCTTCTTCTGCCTATCCTGCAGGTGTCTCCCATTGGCTGAAGCTGCCAAGAAGCCAGCTACCATAGGAGTCCCAGTGCATAGTGTTGGTCTCCTGGGATACAGAACAGGCAGAAAACAGATCTGAGAAGCAGAGAAGAACCAGGGCTTAGGTACTCAAAAACACTGACTGACAGAGCAATCATGGTTCTTCTAAGTTACTGTCATTAAAGTTACTTCTAAGACATGTTAACCAGGTATCAACACACAGGTGAAGGAATGGCTGAAACATTTTCCAAAGCTCTAAGTATACTGCAAATTATTTAAAGACAGGGACTATAGCATCTGCCATAAGGCGGGGAAAGCTGTTCTGAAAGAAAAGGTGACTGGCTTTCCTGTTTGTTGTAGATGTTATCTTTCTCTTGTCTTTGAATGCACAGACCACTTTTATAAAAAATTGTATATATTTATGGGCTACAATATGATGTTCTCATATATGTACACTGTTGAATGATAAAATCAAGCTAATTCCTTATCTCATATATTCACTATTTTTGTGATAGAAACATTTAAAATCTACTCTCTTAGCAATTCTCAAGTATGCAGTATATTCTTATTAACTATAGACATCATGAAGGACCACAAATTTCCAGAACTTATTCCTTTTGTCTAAATAAAACTTTGTATTCACTGACCAACAACTCCCCATTCCCCAGCTTCCAGTAACCACCATTCTATTCTCTGCTTCTATGAGTTTGATATATTTAGCTTTCACATATAAGTGAAACCATTTAGTATTTGTTTTTCTGTGCTTGTCTTATTGCTCTTAGCATGATGTCCTCCAAGTTCATCCGTGTTGTTGCAAATGATAAGATATTCATCTTTAAGGCTTAAGGGTATACCAGTGAGCACATATACCACAATTTTTTTCTTTATCCATTCATCCACTGATTAACACTTAGGTTGATTCACAAAACACTTTATTTATATCTCTCATGTAAAGCTTATCACTTTACACCCTTCATCCTTGCAGTTCAGTGATTTTTATATATGTGTATTTAGATGTTTCTGAAGACTTGAAGCTTCTCAAGAACAAAGGCCATTCCCTATACATTTAGGTAAAATTTGGGTAACCTGACACAGGGAGAGATGAGTAAACAATTATAATAGAGTGTCATTAGTGCTAGAATCCAAGTAAGCAGGAAGTGAGGTGAAAGCCTGAGGGATGTCACTCTATCTTCAGGGTCAAGAAGAAACTTTAAAGTTACTTGGACTTGAGGCAAATTCTCCAGTTGTCAAACCAAAGAGGAGGAAGCAGAAGCAATGAAGCTGAAAACATAGGCAGGGGCCAAACGAGGAAGAGCTTTGATGTCAGGGGAAGGTTTTGAAGAATTTTAAGTAGGTCACTGACATAGAACTATATTTCATAAAGAGCTCTAACACTAGAGATCTCAGGACCAATACTGCTGATGAGAAGACTATCAGGTTAGCAGGCTTTTGCAGTCAACTAGTGATAAATGAGGACCCAAATGAAGGTAATGACAGTAGAATGAGAGAAGCAGATGAATTTGAGAGAAATAGAGAGGGTAGAATCCATAGGCTAAGGTGCCAAATTAGATGCAAGGAGGGAAAAAAGCAAGAATCGAAAATGATACCTAAAGGTTTCTAACAGAACAAAGGTTTTCTCTTTTTCTTCTCCTGTTAAAAATCACCTCCCAAAAATATGGGGAATGAAAAAAAAAATACGCTTTTTCTTTGATGAAACAAGATCACTCTCTATCCCCAAATAAATGAAAACAGGTAAATGGTGGTAACAGCTTTATCAGAGAAGAGAAAGAACTGAAATGTCTGCAAATGAGAACTTGACAAGAGGCAAGCTGATTAGTGCCACAAAAAACTCAAAAGGTTCAGAAACTGGAGTCCTATCTCATCAGTTCTGTAATTACAAATACTGGTTGGAGTTAGAGTACAGGCTGAAAACAAGAAGACTGGGTATAACTGAAGATGGAAAACTCAGACTTCTCAATACCGTACCTATTTGACTCCTCTCGATCTGGGAAAGTCAAGTATGAGAAGTGCCAAATCAGAGAAAATGGGAAAAGCAAAAGATTGCAATAAGATACCAAACTAAAAATAAGACAACTAAATGGTCTGCAGTGAGATCCCTTGGCTGCTTTCCAGATCCAAGTACAACCTACTAGTCAACAAGGTAAGATGTTATGGAGCAGGCCTATAGAGAAACCACCCAAATCAGGAGGACAGCGGGCTCCAGGAGGAAGGTCGGGGGCTAGTGAGGCAAGCAGAGAGCAGTGCTCTATGGAGAAGTAGAATAATACATCATCTGACAGCGTCGACTGGGAAAAATGTCCTGAGAGGCTACTGGAAGGTATGGGAAAATTTAACCCCAGAAACAAACAAAACTCTAATCAAATGAAAAACAAGGCAACTATTAACTCCAGGAAAATTAAAAGTTGTACAGAAAAGTAAACAATAACACACTTCTTGTTAGAGTAATTAGCAATATTTATAGACATAATGTAATCACCAACTAATGATTTATCTAAACACTGTAATATATATTGGGAGAATTGAAAAGAATACAGGAATGGTATGTATAAATTATTAGTTTATGAATTACTATATTATGTATATACAAAAGAACAACTGATGTCTAGAACTGATGAACCAAAAATAGCATTATAAGCAATTACTTTAAAAATGTGAACATTGAATACATAAAGGATAATAAAAAAGTAGACACATCTAGGGAATGGGATGCAAGGTCAGGAGGGATGGTGCAGGGAATACGAATCCACTAGAAGTTTTTTCATACTATTTGACTTTTGCTTACATATATGTACTACTTTGATAAAGATTAAAATGTTAATTCTAAAAGGCAAAAAATAAATGAAGAGTACACTCAAAAAACACTTACTGGCTTAAGTAAGACTTACCCAGAAGCACTAACTTATGCAGAGTCTCTGAATGATCCACATAGTCTTTAAGTGTGAATGAAACTGGGGGCAATGGAGGGTCTGCAATAATCTGAACAGCCTCCTCCTCAGAAATTGGCTGCATTGGAGACAAAGGAGGCAAGTCATCCAGCCCTTTGAAAGAGAGAAACAAGTTAGCACTCCAATATGTACACCTAAAATTATTTCTACAAAGAACATCTCTTCCCCAGTTTTCTTCTTCCACTGGTTAAATCTTGGGATCATTATAAACATCTAAGAAGTCCAAAATTTTTCTGCCTTCTAAAAGGCAGGATTAAGACTAGCGAGACCAACTACTGTTCGTTCAAGATAAACTTGTTGCTAAGTTTCAAGGCACACAACTCCTTTCCTTTTCTTTTAATCAGGAGGTAAGAATGCTAAAGATCATCTGACTTTCAAGCGCATTTTGAAAATGAAATTGAGTCTACTGTAGTCTGTTAACCTAGCCAAAGGTACACATATTCTGACAGCCAGAATTGCATGGGTTAAATCAACACAGCCTGAAATGTCTTTGTTTTGCTCCACTCTCCTTCCCTTCAAGTTCCTTTCAACTATGTCTTTAAGAGGACTTCTATGATTATTTTTACCACTTGCAATCCTTTGCTAAGGATGTGACACACTCTAGTGCCAGCACTGATTCTGAGGCTTTGTTTTTTTAAATCAAACACAATATTGAACTATAACCTACCCCAAGCTAAGGAAACGTGGCTATGATCTCTTCTTCCACTTTTGCCTCTAATCACTAACTATCCTTTCGCATCTTTTACAGCCAGCCTCACCTTCCTGCCCCCACCCCCAGCTTGCTTCCTTTCACATTCTACTTAACCTAATATTAACTCATTTGCAGTGAAATATTCCTAGAGTGGGAAGCATAGGAAGGAGAGGACTGGCTGTAAAAGTGACATGATAGAATTTTTTGGGGAATTATAACTGTTTTATTTGCTGATTATGGTAATTGTTACACAACTAAATGTCTATGTTAAAATTCATAGAATGTTATATTCTAAAAGATGAATTCTACTTATAATCATCCCTTACAAACCAAATTACCACAAGAAAAATTTTTAAAAGAATCCAAACAATAAAGTATTTACAATTAAAATTTTTATATAGCAATAAAAGTCTTATGCATATTAATCCATAAACTTTTTTCTTAGCCAATAAAATAAAATAAACCCACAAACTTTTTTTCTTAGCTAATAAACTAGAAGTAAATAAGTAGAACTGAACTGGCATTATTCTTTTTCTTGCTTGGTACAAAACATGACCTAAGACCAGTTAGCAGAATGTAAACAGGTAGCTTGTTCAAACTACCAAAGTGGGGAAAAGGGAACTTTTCTGAAACTTCAGAATTACCTTCCAGAGACAGTTCAGAATCAAAGCTGGATATCTTTTGTGTCTTCTGTGATTGCTCACTCACGGAAGGAAGCAGTGTATCTTGGGCAGAATTATTTTCTTTGCTACTTGAGTAGGTAGACTGAGAACTATTCCATAAGGAGGAAGTTCTATAAGTCTTAAATCCCCATTGGAGAAAGCAATTACCAGAGGATATCTGAGGCTCAGCAGAAAAGCCATGCAACAGTGTTTTTCCCGGTTTAGTAAAACATTTTGTGAGTTGAGGAGCATTAATGAAGCTACTCAATTTAATTGCTTTGAACCATCTGGGTATCTGTTGGGCTGACAGGGCCATTTTTCTTAGTCTACAAAGGAAAAATATAAGCACCAAAAAAAGAGAAATTAAATTTATATAAATGCTTAAAACAGTATTCAAACAACAAAAAAAGAGCTGGAAATTATTTTTTATAAATGAAAAGTGTTCAAATACATTCAGATACAAAAACAGTGTGATGCTTCTTATACACAGGAAAAGCCAAGAACAACACAGTCTCAGTTACAAAGCAACAGACAGAAACTTATGGACTGAAAAAATAAAGATATGCTTTATAACTTGAAAACAAAAAGCACTGTAATCCCAGCCCTTTGGGAGGTTGAGGTGGGAGGATCGCTTGAGGCCAGGAGTTTGAGACCAGCCTGGGCAACATAGTGAGGCCCAATCTCTACAAAAGTAAAAATTTTAAAAAAAGCAAAATCACTGGTATAAGGAAAACATTTAAGACAAATTGTAAATGTTCAAATTACAGCTGAACTCAATCATCTATTTTTTTTTTTGAGTTGGAGTCTCACTCTGTCGCCCAGACTGGAGTGCAGTGGCCGCTCCCGGCCACCGCAGCCTTGACCTGCTGGGCTCCGGCGATCCTTCCGCATCAGCCTTCCGAGTAACCGGAATTACAGGCATGCGCTAACATGCCCGGTTGATTTTTTTATTTATAGTAGAGATGAGGTCTTGCAAAATTGCCCAGGCGGGTGTCGAACCCACGGGCTCAGGCAATCCACTCACCTCAGCCTCCCAAAGCATGGGATTACAGGCTGAGCCACTGAGCCTGGCTTCAATAATCCATTAATATAATAACTGAAAGAAAAGAGAGTGATGCTATTAAGTGTTCTTGAAATTTGGTATGAAGGACTTTAAGAAGATTGCTGATCAAAGTAACAATGTCACTTTTCAGCAGACCCTGAAGATTTACCATACTATTATAAGAAAGAAACTGGCAGTAGCCAGAAACTGCTGGGGGAAGGGGGGGCACATAACATTAATAAGGGTACCTAATCTCAAACCAGGCAAAGTGAGGACCAAAGGTAGGCCCAAACTTTACCTGTACGATGACCACTTGTATACCTAACCCTGTATTGTATCCCACATCTTTAAAACAAAATAAATTTTAAAAACACAAAGTAACACTGTATTATTCAAATGCATTTTATGTACATAAATTAGTCACAAAATGAAAATAGAAAGAAATCCACTGTCTTAAGTGATTCATTATCACTGCTATATAGAACAGTAAAGGCAGTTTCTTGCTTCATTCTCATGCCTGAACACTGATGATTATTTCACAGATAAAGCTGTTCTTCGAAAGGGAATTGAAGAAAACTTGTTTTGTTAAATTCTGTCTCACTGTAGGAAACAAAAAAAGGGAAAGTCTTCAAAAAGAAAAGGTCAAAACTACCAAACAAAACTAAATGACAGAATTAAATAAGCAACCAGAAATGAAGACATGCATATTTTGTTTCAAGAAAGACTGTTGCTATGCTAAACTCCAAGAATATGAAAGAATCTTATATTTAGCCAGCTCATTAGAAGGATAAATTTGAAGCACATAATCTTATGTTAAATAAGCTAATTCATCTAAAACACAGCACAGAGACCAGCATATGGGAAATAATAAATGTTAGCCATTATGTTAGCCACTATTATTACTATTTTTATTACACAACTACATACAAATGAATTTGGCTGAATTAATTGTTGCATATAACTTTTTGCTTTATTTTTCTACATAGTGGAATTCAGCTTGTTTTATCCTCTGAATTAGACCAAATAGTTGTGGGCCTAATCTCCTCAGAGTATTGTAGTTTGAGAAAGTTTGCTGAAAGAGTTACCTAAGTGAAAGTCTCATTTTTCCTCTGAAGTTACTTTAGGAATATTCATATTAACTGTCTGGAAATAAATATTCATAATAACTGTCTGGAATAGGTGACTTTTGTTAAATTTGGGTAAGAAGTGAGCCTCCAAATCTGCCAAGTTTTCCCTCAAACCTAAAACATTCTCTGCATAGTAGCCTCAGTTATGCTACCCCGACAAGACTCAGTTGCCAGTGGTGGTCTAACAAAATGTCTCGCCCACGGTGGAGGTTCAAAAACTATTCTTTAAATGATAATTTTTTAAAGGGTTAGGAGTACAATAAAGATGATTCTTAAGGTCCCTGTCAGCTAGCTCTAACATTTTGACTAAACATTTCATCCTTTTCAAAAACTCCTGAAGTTCCAAATTCACTCTAATGCCTTTCTGGACTTAATATATCCCTCCCACATCAGGGAGAGTTACTTTTAAATTCTATCCATATTCATTAAAAGATCTTTGTGCATACAACTAATGTTTACCCTTTCACTTCTATTTACAATATTTTACTTATATTCTTCTCTACATCATCCTTTCACTGCTGTCTATACATCTTAACGATTGATTGCTTGTTGAGGAGAGCAGGGCTGGATCTCATTTCTGGATCCGTTCGCCCAATGACTATTCTCCAGAGCCCAGAGCCTTTTAAGGCTCCCATGTGAGTTGGATGGAAATCCATTAACGGCAAGCACGGTTAACTCACTGGCTCACACAGCATTCAAAAGTGGGTAAGGTATTTGCAGATGAGTATTAAAGTCCTGCGCAGTGACAACGGTAAGTCTTCCAACCCGACTCTTTCATCAGGAAAACTAAAGGAAAAAGCCCTCAAAGAACTCCAAAGTCCATTAAAATATCGTAGACTAGTTCTCAACTGTGTGCGTAGTGCTTCGCTAGGAACAAGCATCGAAACTGGTTTCCGATAATTCAAGATTTCTACCTCTGAAAGGTTATAAGTGAAGTGAGAAGATGAAAAAGGGGTTGAGGGGGTGGCTTCGTAATAAAGGGCCTCTCAATACTGACGCCCTCCCTAGGTCATTTTAGCCGATTTCAGTTCCCCAAACCGAACTTCCGTAGGAAGCCAGCAGACGTGCCGCCGCTCCCCGAGTCCCTGCCAGAGCGCGCTGATGAACAAGCATGGTCGCGTTTTCATAGCATCAGCCAGGGGGAAAACACAAAACAAAATCAGGTCTTCAGGTCTCGACTGAAGTGAAGACCTACAGGCCCTGAGGCCCGAGGGCGCGGCGGCCAGGACGCGGGTGGGTTGGGATTCGAACGGCCACCGGGAGTGCGCCCCTCGCGCTCGGGCGGCTTCTGCTTTACCTGTGGCGAGGTCCCAACCCCGGCTTGGGTCCCCTGATGGCCGACAGGCCCGCCAGACGCCCCGAGCGCCCCGAACGCCAGCGCCGCACGCCCGCGGGTCCGCCCGCCAGGCCCCGCGCCCCGGAGCTCCGGGCCCACGTGGGCTGCGGCCGGAGTGGACGAGACCATCCGCCGCGCAGTGCGGGGGGAGAGCGGGCTGCTTGCGGCGGAGTAGGAGCCAGCCAGGCGCTCA